AGCTGCTGGCCCTGATTGCCCCTGAGGGCATCTCTTCCTCTCCTTGCTTCTGAGGGGTGATTGGGATAGCAGCTGCCACTCACACCTGCTGCTGGCACTGGCCCCAATTGCTCTGCGCCCCTTCAGCGAGTGGGAGTGAGGTCAGCACTGTCAGTGTGTGGGAGCTGCAGCAGTTGGAGTAGGGCTGCTGGAAGACATGGGACTGGGAGGGGCCAGGTGGGATGGGAGGATGGACAGAGACTCGCCCCTGTGCCCACAGCAGCCTCATGGCCCACAGTTCCTTTCAAGGTGCACGAATTTGTACACTGGGCCCTTAGTTTATTATAATATTATCTTATTTAATAAAGAGGAAATATGCTAATTGACCCTCACACCACCACAAACATGGTGGCACCCACAGCCACAAGATGGCAGTGTCTAGTCCCCCCAGCCCCGCCTGGGTGGCAGTTGTGCGGCAAGGCATGTCCCTTCCCAAGGTGGGCCTGGTGGCTCCTCACACCTGGCTCCGGAATCCCCCAGGCTCAGCCCCCCAGACGCCCAGGGCTGGCCTGAGGGGCAGGCAAGCCTCGGATGTTGATTGCCCAGCCATCCAGGGCCAGCTTGAGGAGCAGGCAAGCCTCAAATGGCTTCTCAATTTCCCATTTTTGCAGGGTCCCTGATCTCTTTGAGTTATTTTCTTGAATCGCTACCTCACTTGACTTTGAGGAGAGAAGGGCACCCTGTCCTCCCCTCTCCCAATAGTAAAAAGGGGGACTTCTCTTACCACAAGCACTACTATTTCCACAATTTTTTAAAATATATTTTTTAATTGATTTTTCACAGAGAGGAAGAGAGAGGGATAGAGAGTTAGAAACATCAATGAGAGAGAATCATCGATCAGCTGCCTCTTGCACACACCCCACTGGGGACGTGCCCGCAACCAAGGTACATGCCCTTGCCCAGAATTGAACCCGGGATGTTTCAGTCTGCAGGCTGACGCTCTATCCACTGAGCCAAACAGGTCCCGGCTATTTCCACAAATTCAATAGCTCCTATGATGCCATTCTCCTTTTTTCTCCTAAATCCTCTAAACCAGGAGTGGGGAAGGTCTGGTCTGAGAGCCATATAAGGTCCATGAAATCATTTTGTGGCCCTGCCCATGCATTAGGGTGAGTTAATTAAATGTTTGTCCAAATATATCAGGCTAATTTTTAAGTTAATTTAGTATGGCCCGCGAATGATGTCATAAATATCCAAATGGCCCTTAGCAGAAAAAAGGTTCCGCACTCCTTGCTCTAAAGACTGGAGGAGGGAGAGGTGGGTTGGTGGTCATTGGCACTAAGTTGAGTTCTGTTGCCTTTTGTTAATAAGCCTTGGAGGAAATTGAACTAGAATTTGGGGTACCACACTTAGCTCTTATTGTTAGTCAGCTATGAGCCCTAATTGCCAATACTGGGGCAAAGGAAAGATCACTTTTATTGCTGAGGCTGTTGTAGTAGCTTTAAAAAGAGGATGGGGACTTGGACTAGGGTGGCAGTGAAAATGGAGAGAATCAGATATGTTTGGGATAGATTTTGGAAATAAAATCAACAGGACATGATGGCAAATTAAATGTGGAGAGGAAAAAAGGGAATCAAAGAAGAAGGTTTTGGGTTGAACAACCGGGTGGATATAGGTGCCATTGATTGAGGAAGATTGAAAACAAAAAGAGATTGGAATGGTAGGTAGTGTAGGGTGCCTTTCTCATCAAGATTACTGTTTTTCCTGCTTAGATTTTAGGTAGCCAAGTGGAGATATGAAACACAAAGTTGGATATAGGAGTTTGGAGCTCAATGGGTAAGGTAAAGTCTAGAGTTATCCACTTGAAAGTCACAGCATGTCCTATATTCATAGCCATGGGATCAGCTAAAATTAGTTAGGGAGAGTTGAGAGAAGAGAGAAGGCTGAGGATAAAGGAAAATTCAGCAGGAGACAGGAATCACCAAAGAGGAGGAAACAAGGAGAGTGTGTGTGTGTGTGTGTGTGTGTGTGTGTGTGTGTGTGTGTGTGTGTTCTCTATTTCCCAAGGGAATAAAGTCTCTGTCATGATTTGAGTATACCGAATATAATAAGCTGTGTCAGAGGAAGTGAAGCATTGACCTATTTCAGATGGTTCTTAAAGAAGTGCTGAACTCAGACTGTCTGCTGCATAGGAAATTGAAACAAAACGAGTGGAAATAAAGAAGGTGAGACTAAATTACCTTAAGGTTTGTTTCAGATTAGTCTATCATTGAACCCCTTACTGTAAGAATCTTTTGTATGAATGTAAAAATAAACCATGCCTGGCCGGCATGGCTCAGAGGTCATGGTTCGATTCCCAGTCAGAGCACATGCCTGGGTTGCTGGCTCAATCCCCAGTGTGGGGCATGCAGGAGACAGCCGATCAATGATTCTCTCTCATCATTAATGATTCTCTCTCTCTCTCCCTCTCCCTTCATCTCTGAAGTCAATAAAAATATTTAAGAAAAAAGAAAAATAAACCATTTTGGTGAAAAATTTAGAACATGAAGCCAAGCTTCCAATTGCTTGGCTCCCTTGCTTAGAAAGGGTTATACTATTCAGATTTTACAGTTTTTATGGAAAGAACAAAATCTGGAGATGAAATGGTTTAAAAATTAGACTGGGATCTAATACATATATATATATACACCCCCCTCCCCATATTTTCCAGCGTATAAGACGACTTTTGAAACAAAAAAAAGTCAACCGAAAATCGGGGGCAAAAGACCAAAATTGCACAAAAAATACCTGCAGATCTTGACAGCAAAGTAAGTCTTTTCTCTGAAGTGGGGGGTAGTCTTATACAGCGAGTATAGGCATAAACCTATGTTTTAACTGTAAAATTAGGGAGTCGTCTTATACGCCGGAAAATACGGTGTGTGTGTGTGTGTGTGTGTATGTATCCAATATATAGATATATTTGATTATAATATATCTATATCCTATATAATAAAACTACAATATGCAAATTGACCAAACAACAGAATGACCAGTCAGTGGGGGGCAGGCTAGGGAGCAGATGGTGCCAGGCCAGCTGATGCTTGTGCCAGCGGGCAGAGGGAGGGGATAACAATGCGAGGGGCAGATGGCAGCAACCAGTGGTGGTGTGTTGGGGCCGCGCTGTCCAGCGCAATCCCCTGATGGGCTGCCTAGTTGCCTCCAGCAGAGGGAGGCTGGCAGCGGTGGCAGTGGTAGGGTGATAGGGGTGGTGCCTTCCCCTGATCAGGCTGGTCGCCTACCAAAGAGTGGAGCCAACAGCAGCAGCAGTGGGGTGATGGGGGTGGGGCCATCCCCTGATCTGCCTGCCTGGTTGTCTTCCACAGAGGGAGGCCAGACCTCCCCGCCCCCCTCTACCCCAGAGCATAAATTTTTGTGCACTGGGCCTCTAGTAACTATACAATAGTCAGTATATACGTAGGTATATTTGCTTAGTGCTAAAAAAGATGAAACAATTTGCCTATATCACAGAATTGTAAAAATAAATCTGTTTAAGAAATTGCCTTTATTAGCTTGCTCTTCTACCAATTTTCAAATATTAGTGTACATAAAATAAGAATCAACTGGAAGGCTTTCTAATGATACATATTCCAAAGTTACATCTGCAGGAATTCTGGTTGGATGTAGCCAGAAAATCCATATTTTGACTGGATAAGTATTGATAGCTGTACTTATATGAATACCCATATTGAATCTTAAAAATCAGTAGTACAGGTGATTCTAGGGACAATGATCCCTTGAACACATTTTGCAAAACCCTGGTCCTGATACTATATTGCAAGTCTAGGTTACTCTTCTGGTGGCAAAAGTGCCACTTGGATCTCACACCTTATTTTTATTAAAATATCTTTGTAGATGCATAGTTTACATAATAGAAAGATAAAACTATAAAACTGAAAGAATATAAACACCAAAAATAGTATATTTATAAATCAAGTAATCTTTACTTTTAAAAAATAAGCTTTTGTGAAGCTTTATCCCCATGAATTTTTCCAATTGTTTTGGGGAGCTAGACTAGTCTTGTGTTTATTTTCAAGGACATAATAATTTGTAAAAAGTATCAAGCTAACTTGTAATTACTCTTTTTTGGAGTGATGGAATAAATCATTTAGAAACTACAGTTACCGACGAGGAGCTCTTAAGTGGTTAATATTTGTTTTGACACCCTGACCACATTACTAAAATGTGCTTTAGATGTTTCTTTTTCTACTAGATGTAATTGTTCATGTGAATCCAGTATATTTTCTTAACCCCAACTAGTTTCTAAATGCTATGATAGTGGAAATCAAAATGAAAGTAAAGTTTGACAGTATAGCAATATCGTGTGCTCTAGAGCCTGACACTTTGTTCTTGCTAGACTTTCAACACATATTATTGAAGGAGAACAATGTGCTAGACTTTATAACTTTCATTCTGCTATTTTCTACTGCCAGCTAATAAATCTGCTTGCCTATTTATGATCCTGAAGTATTTCTTTAGTGCCTCTCAAAATTCTAGGAGACTCTTAAAAAATGGGAGAATTCAGAACCCAAAGTAACATATATTTGATGTTGCATGTAAATGTAACCAACATGCTCATTTATCCTCTTTTATTTATTGTTCCAAGCCCAACAAATATCATATATACTTGAAAACTTTTTTGTCTAGGGAATAACGTTAAACACCCCTACTTAACTTTAATGGATTCTTTGAAATTATTATTAGTCTTCTGCATTAATCAGAGTAAATGTAAAATAAAAAGTGATTGCATCAAGATGACTTTTGGGGGATGCTTTGGAAGAAAACAGATAAATCTAAGCCATACATTTCTTTGCAGTGCAGCATGAAAATTTCAGACTTTAGCTGCAGTTGTGATTGGCTTTAGTTTGTTAACCTGGAGCGTTATTTTAAGAAAGCAGAAGCAACATCATTTGCACACTCCTTATAGCGCACACACCTTAACCCTGATGGTTTTAGCTCCAGTTTTCAAAAGAAGTGAAGGCAAGATGAAGAAGCATTTGCTTTTCTGGGGAGTCCTGGCCATTTTTGTTAAGGCTGTTCTTGTGACAGGTATGTGATATTTTGAAAATAAACCCAGATAAAAGGGAAAAAATGTAGCACAGATCTGTTCTTCAGATCTAAACATTAATGCTTGTGCTTTGGTTGGCCAACTAGCTGGCTACTTTTCTCTAACATGTCTTAATCTTTATATAGGCAGTGATCTTTATGCAGGCAAGACTCATTATAGTTTTTTTTTCATTATAGTTCTTTATCTCTTCTTTGTTTGAGTACTATAAACTAGAGAATAAGAAAATATTTATTTCTGGATAAGTAATGATAGCTGAACTTATATGAATATCCATATTGAATCTTAAAAAATCAGTAGTTCTCTTAAGTGTCTTAAATTAGTATTCAGGGAAATGAAGTAATAATTGCTTTAAATACAACATCGACTCCAATGGAATTTTATTTTCCAAGACAGACTAATATTAATTCAAATAACTTTTCTGGGTCTGGTCCTACAGATTTATTAACAATGTTTAATGTTTTATGGGGCCTATAACTTAATCACCAAACTTTGGCTATTTTATGTACTTACCCTTCAAAGTCCTGTCGAAAATGGAGTACATTCTGAATATCGAAGTACCGTTTTTAATAATTTTCGTCTAGAAGGGCACATGATTAGTATGATATAATTTGGCTGAATTGTTTCTAAAACTGACTTTATTCTTATTTCAAGACTGAGTATGATATAATTAAGAATAATCCTTTAAATATATTTCATACTAATTTAGCATTAAAAATAATGAATTTCTAATATTTATAATATAAAGATAGCAGTAAAACATGTATAGTACAGGTATCTATACAGGAATTTATAAATATACCCATACATATACACATATGAGCTGTAATTTATTGAGCACATATTAGGTTCTAGGCATTATGATAACTACTTTATATATACAATTCTATTTAATTCTCACAGCAACCATTTGAGGATAGGTGTTATTATAATTTCTACATATAGTCGAGCCCATTGAGATTTAGAGAGGCCAAATATCTTACCTAAGCTCACACAGCAAACATTGTAGTAGATAGAATCCAGGCCCTCTGACCCTCTGACCCATACTCTTTTAAAAATATATATATATATTTTATTGATTTTTTACAGAGAGGAAGAGAGAGGGATAGAGAGTTAGAAACATCAATGAGAGAGAATCATCAATCAGCTGCCTCTTGCACACCTCCCACTGGGGATGTGTCCGCAACCAAGGTACATGCCCTTGACCAGAATTGAATCCAGGACCTTTCAGTCCGCAAGCTGATGCTCTATCCACTGAGCCAAATCAGTTTTGGCTGACCCATACTCTTAACTACTATCTTATTTTTCCTGTATAAGAGAATCAACTTTTAATAAATTAATTATGTTCATATGTAGTATGTGTTGTTAACTCTATTTTATAATTTGTTTGAACTGAGTTAAATTAAATTTAACAAATATTTATTGAGCACCTACTATATCTCAGTTGCTCTTCAAATAAAGTAAGGCACAGTCCTTAATAATAGATTTGTTAGGGAAAATGCTATCTGTCAGTGAGAGAGAATGTTGAATCTTATAAGTCTTGGTGAATTGAAAGTATTTGTACATTTTCTAGTAGTTATGTAGGCTGCCCAATATTTTTATATAACAACAGTAATGTTAGTTTTTCCTATGTTTCAGGTAAGAAAATAAACTGTATGCCATAAATAAAATACAGACTACTTAAGACTTAATTGTCAACTCACATATTTGACTTAATTTTTTTTGGTCAGACATTTCTGGCTCATTTGTATTTAATTGAGAAAGCATTTCATGAATATAGCGGTAGGGAAAATGACACCATTTTATTCATCTTACTCTTCAAAATGTTAAGCAGAATTATATGATGATCTTAAATTGATGTCATAATGTTTCTTCTCCAGGGCCATACAGACTTTTATCAGAAGATTTAAGAAGTTATGAATAATAACATTATAAAAAATTTAAAATGATTATAAGTATGATAATAATGATCTTAAAATGTTTTTGTAATAATTATTATCACCAAGACTGAAATACTGCAATTAGGTCCTCTCAGCTGTGAGATCTTTCTGGAATAATTAGGCTTCCAGTAACAGAGATATCTATCCTAATCACTTAACCTTTATAACTTTATGTGCTAAATTTTTGTGTTGTTGCTTTTTTTCAATTGAGGCTTGATGAGAGGAAATTCCTAAAATTATAGGAATAAAATATATTTAACATTTTTATTTAATTAGCACTATTAAAGCTCTTCAAATATCTGTTAATTGATCAAGTCCATATATTAGTACATTTTCTTTATTTATTCTTTGTAACACTTACCAGACTTCTTCGTCTAATATTTAGATTAGACAATAAATGTTGATACTCAGAGTTAAGGCTTTTATGATCACCTGTGAATTTATTCATTTATTATTATTTTTTGCATTTGGGCACATTAAATTAAATATATATTTAATCAATATATTCTGAATTGTTTTTGCAAATTTGTAACATTTTATATTGATATATACTATAACTTTAAAAATAATTCTTATGAGAAATATTAACATAGCATCTGTTATTTTATTTGATTGGATCTTATATCATAATAACCTGATAGTTACTACAAAAAAAAGAATATAATTAAGTTTAAGAAGATTATAGTGGAGAATACTTAAAAATCATAAAGTAAGGTTATTTTGGGGGAAAATGTATCTGTGCTCCGCTCTAATGCAATGTAACAAGCTATGTATATAAAGGGGAGTTCAGTGAAGGATGTGGCATTTCACACTGGGTTTACAAAGGCTAATGTTAATTTTTGTTCATTTTTGAATGGAATGCTTTGGTCTGAGAGAAATCCAGTCTAGATTTTTGTTTTCTCTTTTATTTTGGCATCTGTTACTCATGTTTACAAGGCTATATCATTCAGAGAGCTCTGCTCTATTAAAGCATTGGATTAAAACCAGAATGCTTAGGTGTCTCTGGCTTGGTCCAAGGGAAGAAGAAAATTCCTTTTGGAGTACATTAGGTGTCCTTCATTACGCTGTGGGGTTCTATTCAGCTATTTTAGATTTGGAAGGAGAACAAATGGAGAAAGCTGAAATTGATCAACTATAAAACTGATTTTTCCCCCCCAGCAGGAAATAAGATTAACTCAAACCAAAGTTGTTCAGTAGTTTTTCATTCCTGTTTCTTCTAATTCTTTTAAAATATGTATTTTTTTATTGTTGATAGTATTATGGATATCTCCCATTTCCTCCCCTTCTATCTCCCTCCTCCCAGCCCTTACCATCCTCCCCACCCCCAGGTCCATTTCTTCTTAACATCTTGTATCTTTCCAGCCCAAGACGAAGATGAAGGGACTGTTCTTGCGAACAACAAATGCAAGTGTGTCCAGGTTAATTCTAGGGTCTACCCTTCTCCCGATAATCCTTCTGAAGACATTGTGGAGAGGAACATCAGGATTATGTATGTGGTATTTTATATTTCATTTCTTCATGTTATAAAGAGATACTCTGTCATATCAGTCATTGTTTGAAGGTAATAATTATGACTTGCTCCTCTTTGTGATATGTAGCACCTGACATGAGACTGAATCTAGTTAATGGACCTGAGTCAATTATGCACAAGTTGGGAGCAGGAACAAGGTTCCCACACAATCTAAAACCAGTCAGCTGGATCAGATGATAATAACGGAAGGTTCAGATCTCGTCCTCAACATGCCCTGTGTATATGGAGTTATTTCTGTTTGCTTCAGAACTTTTAGTTGCTCTTGATCAGTTTAAAATGAAACTTAAGATAACACTAAAAGCTTTATTTTGTACCACATCTGAATTACAGAGTATTTTACATAGTACTCAAGTGGCGGCATAGAGATAAAGGAAGGCAGACTAATCAAATTGACTAATGTGATTTAGTCTTCACTTGTCCATTGGACTCTAGATATTCATTTCTCTTCACATGTAGTCCAAGTTATAAGTTATGAGTCTTGACGTTTAATTTGCCAAAATGCTAATAATATTTAATAAATGAGATTCCTATTGGACCCAATCAGTAAAGCCTTCCTTGTGAACACTTCTGCCTTGAATACTTTCCTAACAATTAGGTACCTCTTTCTGAAACAACGTAACATCCAATAGAATGTTTTAAAAATTTTGTTTAAAGTTCTGGTTGGGTCACTGGTTGTGTTCTTGTATACAAGTTACTTAACTACTCTATAAACTTCAACTTGCTCATCTTTTTTTTTTTTTTTAAATATATGTTTTTATTGATTCCAGAGAGAGGATGGGAGAAGGAGAGAGTTAGAAACATCAATGATGAGAGAATCATCATGGGCTGCCTCCTGCACACCCCCCTACTGAGGACCTAGCCTGCAGCCCAGGCATGTGCCCTGACCAGGAGCCAAACCTGGAACCCTGCAGTCCACAGGCCAATGTTCTATCCACAGAGCCAAACCGACCAGGGCAACTTGCTCATCTTTAATAGGGGGAAATAGTATATATCTCATAGAGCTACTATAAAGGTAAATTGAGACCTATTATTTTTAGAGAATGAATAGTTCCTGGCAAACTTTCAAAAAGTATTTGCTTTTATTAATCCACCTAAACTACATGCCAATTATCTTTATGTTACTATACTTTTTTCTAATTAAAAAATTGATTAAAATTTTACATATGTCTCCTTTTCCCCTGATTGTTATTAAACTTCTTAAAATACCTTGGTTTACCCAACATTGTTACTGTGATGAATTACAAATGCCTCAGCTTAACAATGAGCATAACTCTCAAGCTCTTCCATTGACACTTTTTCCCACCTTATGTTTGAAAATCCAGAAATAATGTGGTGCCCTTAATATTCCCACTCACATTGCTTTCTTCCTCTTCTATTTTTGCATGTTGTTCCTTTGCTTGAAGAACCCTTTCTCCCACTCTTCTTAGCCTCGTTAACTTCTCCTCAACCTGCATGTCTTAGCTTAGACATCACTTCCTCTGGCAGGTTTTCTCAAACCATTCAGACTCTATACCACTCAGCTTCCTGATAGAGAGAGAACAGTTGGAGAAGCATGCAACTTGAAGGGATGGATGGCATTCATTGAAGAGGAGGAGTGTATATCTTATGTTTAAATCTTCAGATTTTTAAAATGGCACTCTATAATTCTCCTTTTTTTTTTTCTATGACCATTCTTTTTATATATTTTTTTCTGAATTCAGATAATTCAGTTACTTCATCCACTTTGCCTGATGTGTATTAATGGTTCTCTGATCTCATTTCTAAAAGTTCTATTATTATTGCCATGTCATTATGGCATTATTCCCAACTCCATCACTTCCTAGCAATATGATTTTGGGTAAATTACTTGACTAATTTGAACCTGTTTCCTAAGCTGTAGAAGAGGGATACAGTATATGTATGTAGATATACTAGTATACATATACTTTATAGGGTTGTGAGAATTAAATGTGATAATATGTAAAAGTGTCTAGAACACTGTTTGACCCAAAGCCTCATGTTTATTCCCTATCAATATCCTATCAATATTTAAAGCCGTTTCTCATATTACTAGAACCTTTCAAGCCAATAAAGAATAGATCCATTCATTCATTCAACAAATATTTATTGAGTGCTACTAAATACCACTGAGGATTGGAGTTGGGGACTGTTGGAGAACTTACAGTCGAATAGGGAACTGTAAACAGGTAAAAAGGCAATTACAGTACAGTATTGTAAATGCTATGATGACAGGAATAGCCAAAGGATGTTAGAGGGCACCCAGTGCAATCCTCGTGGGCTGGTGGAGAGTGGCAGTGGAAGTAGGAAGAATGTTTGGAGTAAGTAGTGGAAGTGAATGATGGCTGCTAGCTGGCTGAATGGAAATTAATTGGGTAAATGTTTGGGCTTGATAAGTGAGGAGGGATCATCCTAGGAAAAGGAATCAGAGTTGCTATTATATAAGGAGTACATGAGATCATCATTTAATATATTTAGCATAGTACCAGGTACACTCTAAGTGCTTAGTAAATTTGTTTTTGTTATTAAAACATGATGATGAGAAAAGCCTGGTAAGTTTATGAGATTGTCTGCTGTTGCTGTTGTTCAGAGCTGGCATGTAGTGTAAAGAGGGTGACATGGTGAGAGAAGAGGGTGGAGAGTGACAGCATGCCATTAATGATACCCTGATATTTCTGGGAGAGACACGCAGTGCTGTTTTAAAAAATATATATTTTATTGATTTTTTTACAGAGAGGAAGAGAGAGGGATAGAGAGTCAGAAACATTGATGAGAGAGAGCCATCGATCAACTGCCTTCTGTATATCTCCCACTTAGGATGTGCCACAATCAAGGCACATGCCCTTGACCAGAATCAAACTTGGGATCTTTTAGTTTGCAGGCCAATGTTCTATCCACTGAGCCAAACCGGTTTTGGCGAGACACTCGGTTTTAAGCAGAGAAGGAAATTAGGCTTGTATTTTAGAAAGGCCATTTTGACAATAATGTAGCCAATGCACTTATAAGGGTCAAGATTGAAGGAAGGCATTGCTAGGAGAGAAGAGGCAGTGTCCTGAACCAAGTGGATGGATTTCACAATTAAACTGTGACATGGGATTAAATATAGGTCATGACAGAAAGGGAGGACTCAGGGATGTTATCCAGACTTTTGCTTAGATATTTATATAAATATTATTGCTAAACACTGAGTTAGAAAACACAGGTTTTTTTTTTTTTTTAATCTTTTGGTAGAGATGAGTGCTTGTGAGGAGAATGATGACATAGATAAAAAAATGTACAAGTTGAGAATATCACCTGAGCTAGTTGATTAGCATTATCTAATTTTTCATGGCGATCACCAAATTAAGAGATTTGGATTCCAGCTACAGCTTTACTACTTAGTAGTTGTGTGATCTTGGATAGGTTGCTAAGCTCTCTAATTTATAATTTATGCATTTCAAAATTGTGGATAATAATAGCTATCCATTCATTCTAGAAATATTGAACATATTCCACATACTACACATGTAGTGAGGCACTGGGAATACATAACTGTTTTTGCATCAAGGAACTATGTAGTCTAGGGAAGCAGTTATGCCTCAAGCAACTATGATTCGGTGTTTGTTATAATAAAGATAGATGCACTTAATAAGGCTGGAGAGGAAGGAGTTTATTGAGGGGTGGAGATGGGATCTAAGTTATCATAGAGGTCATAGAGAGGGTAAAACTTGAGCTTATTGCTGAAGGGAAAAACGGATTTGCCAACTGAGCAAACATCACTGAGAGAGGAGTTGTTGCGAGGTTTATTTTGAATGGGAAATGCTTAAATTATAGCAAATTACTGTGAAATCTGAGTATGAGCATCAGCATAGACTCTTTTAGAGTGCTAAATTCACTAAATGCCCAAATGAAAATTACTGCCCTAGCAATATACCTATTACCAAAAAATAGCAATATCTGTTTCATCATTTTGACTTGTTTTTCTCTTTTTCAGTGTTCCTATTAACAACAGGGAGAATATCTCTGATCCCACCTCGCCATTGAGAACCAAATTTGTGTACAATTTGTCTGACGTGTAAGAGATTTTCCTTCATACTACTATACATATATATGCAAGTTAATAACCTTACAAATTAACTTGTTAGTAAGAATGTTTTGGAAAATATTTTTGGGTCTAAACATTTATCAATATAATTTTAATTTTTGAATACATTAATTCCCATGCTAATTATTGGGTACCATAAATTGATAAAATGTAATCGCAGATAAAAGCTGTAAGTTTATTCTAACAAAGAAATACTTGCCATTAGTACAGGAAGGGCTGATTTGTTTTAATAGCTCAGTTATTGGATTTCAGGCATATTAACATGTAGGTGTTTGTGTTTTTTAAACTACAGAATTCAGTATCAAACAATTTCTTTAAAAATATTCTTCCTTCTTTGTCATCATAAATAACTTATTTAATTCCAATACATAATTGTCAATTAATCTAACAGAGTAGAAGTTGCTATACGGTATAGGCAAAGCAATAGTATATTATCAATCATATTACTTACTTTCAATTAATTTTTATATTAAAGGTTGAAAAAAAATCCCATAAACCATTCAACATTGTAGAGCACTGCAAAGAACGGGTTGATTTTGGATACAACATTTGATGGGGATTGCCTAATGCATAGATTTGTTTTTCAGCTGTAAAAAATGTGATACTACAGAAGTGGAGCTGGGAAACCAAGTGTTTACTGCCACCCAGAGCAATATCTGTGATGAAGACAATGAAACCTGCTACGCCTATGACAGAAACAAGTGCTATACAAATAAGGTCCCATTTTCCTATGGTGGTAAGACCGTAATGGTGGAAACAGCCTTGACCCCGGAGTCCTGCTATCCTGACTAACTCATTGTTGATGGCACAGCTTATCTTGAAAGGCTCTCCATTTTGATCCAGAAAGTTAATAAATTTATTGCCAATGAATTTGAAACCACAATATTTTGATAATGTAAAGCTCTAGCCTCCAAGTAATTAAAAGTCACATTATTTTTATTAGTTAATTACTTCTCAATTCTTAAATATTGTATGTTCACATCTAAGTGTTGAATCTCTTATTGCCCTCGCCTGAAAGGGTCTATGTTAATAAAATCATTTCTAACATTTAAAAAAATGGACAAGGAGAGAAAACAAAACTGAAGGTTAAAAAATCAGGATACAGAAGTAAATTTTGTGGGTGTTTTTTTGTAGTTTCTTTTATTTTATTTTTTGCTTTGCCTTGGAGAGCCAGAGCTTTTGCACATTCTATGCTATTCTCTTTGAAAAAAAGTAAAATGTGTAGAGGAAAGTGATATGCAAACACAAGTCAATTATAACTCTTCATTAAAAAAGTGATTAGGAAACATGTTTTAGAAATATTTAAAAATAATTAAAATTGGATCTGTAATATTTATGAAACCAGTGAGCTGAAAGTGACATAATTAAATGCAGAATTGAAAAATTTGTTTTGACATAACACAGATTTGGTAGCAGATGATACATTTTTTTCCGATAAAATTAAAAAACCAATCATGGTAGTGTAAGAAATTCCTATTGAAAATCATCAATGTTGTAACTGGATCTAATGAAATATGTATTCCACAATATGTATTCTCTAGCGTAGTTTGAACAATTAAATAGATTTTTAAGCATATACCTGTGTGAAATAATTTATTGGAAAAAAGTTTGTGTTAACTTTGTTGTAAGTAAGTTAAATATAATTGATTACTTATGAATAGTTTATAAGTATGATGTGATTATTCATTAATCACTGACTTCATACATTTACTGAGGTAGCTTTGTGATACAAAACTAAAATTAAATAAAAAGGCAAGGTCCCTCATGACAAACATATGTTCCTAAATTTAGTTAACATCTCTCACTTCATACAATTACAAACAATTCTGTTTCTTGTGATAAGAACTTTTGTGGGGAGAGTTTCTGGAGAGGCTCCTCTCAGTCTCATCTTTGCCTTTTTTTTTTTTTTTTGCCTACCTAATAGGAAAAGATTTTGTGACCACATTGCCTCATTAAATGCCAGCTAGAAGAGCACCTCACACATAATCCTGTGACCTTCTTTCAGAAGTTCAGTTAAACTCAAAGATCCTCATATTAATAACAGTTTAGTATTCACCATTAGGTAAGCATCAATCAATGTTTTAAGTATTAACTCATTCAATACAAATCTAGAGTAGCTGGTGGCTCTTAAATGAGAGTTACTGAAGAAAGATAAAAGCATTCCTGTTAGCTTGTTTTAGTCAATAATTTAGCAAGGAAACACTAAGGAAGCAATGCAGAGGAGGCAGCTCTGAAAGGAGCCTCTTGATTCTTTGCAGGGAGTGTATTTGACCTGTGGCTCTGGTACCCACCACTGTGTGTATATGAGGTAATGGGCTGCTTCCAGCTAATGATGACTGAGAGGGTACGGATACTAATAGAGACCAAAGCCTGGGAGACACAGGACTCCTCTGATGGGTGACTGACTTGAGGACTCCCATCAGCTTTACTGAAAATTTCTTAGCACCACACCTTCATTATATATTATCTATGCAATCTTCCTTCACACCTCCTTTCCTCCACACAGATTAGACCTGAGTCAGAGTCTGATGGCTCTCTCAGGCTTCTTGGGCTCCTGCCCCATTTTCTTTCACAGTTGTTTTTTCTGATAAATACCTTGTACCTTTAAATCTCATCTTGGAGTCTGCTTCTGTAGAGCCTGAATAAACATAGTAGCCAATTATGAGGAATCTGATTTAATGATGATGATGTTGATACTGAACATTATTCACTTGTCATGTGATTCCTCTATGTCAGTGGTCGGCAAACTCATTAGTTGACAGAGCCAAATATCAATAGTTCAACAATTGAAATTTCTTTTGAGAGCCACATTTTTTAAACTTAAACTTCTTCTAATGCCACTTTTTCAAAATAGACTCACCCAGGCCGTGGTATTTTGTGGAAGAGCCACACTCAAGGGGCCAAAGAGCTGTATGTGGCTCGTGAGCCACAGTTTGCTGACCACGGCTCTATGTCATCTAATTTTATCCTCAGAATGACTCTTGGGGTTACCTTTATGTTGTTATTGAGAAAATGAACTCAGTGCATAAAAAATTAACAGTTTGACTGGTTCACTGGCCTCTTAAATGACAGTGGAAACTCAGTCACTGCCATACTCGCAACAAATATCAATAGAAGCCCTCTGATATTCATTTTTTGCCCACTATAACATTTCCTTTAAGTTTCTGTGACATTTTGAGGTTAATGTGACCAATTTATTAATCTGTTATAAGTCAATTATTTCTGATTTTTTTGTCCTCCTTTTAAAATTTGAGTTAAATGGATGCTGTTTTTAAAGGACAGGTATCAGTGGGTATTAGTGGTGAGAATGTTTTTCTTCTGCATAGTGCTTAGCTACTACACTAGTAAGTGAGCACACTCAGCATCAGCCGGAGAAAATTAGAGTAATTAACAATAAGAGTAATGTTCCGCCGAAACCAGTTTGGCTCAATGGATAGAGCGTCGGCTTGGGGACTGAAGGGTCCTGGGTTCGATTCCGGTCAGGGGCATGTGCCTTGGTTGCTGGCATATTCCCAGTGGGGGGTATGCAAGAGGCAGCTGATCGATGACTCTCTCTCATTGATGTTTCTAACTCTCTGTCTCTCTCCCTTCCTCTCTGTACAAAATCAATAAAATATATATTTTTTTAAAAAAGAGTAATGTTCCTTTATGCCAGGCCCTTGAAAACCAGTAGACACAAGTCAAGTATTCACATTAAGACTTTGGATAGGAAAATTATCCTTTACTGGTCTTTCCAGGTCTTGGCTTTGGGTGGTTGTGTAGAATGGCCTTGGTGGAATACAGATTCTATACTTAGTTACTAATCACCAAGGCAAGTTCATTCAATCTGATTAAAAATAGGAGTAAAAACAACTCTCTCATAGCTTGTAAAAATAAGGATACATGCCATAATTTATGTGTACCACTTATTACAGCTAGTATAGCATTCAGCAACCTTCTGTAAATTGCACTTGTCATTGTGTGTTAATTGACTTCTGGCTCTTCTCTCTACCCAGTCAACAAATCAGGAAACAACTCGACCCTATTGGATTACTGTTTCTCAGTCTTTAGCATGCATGAGACTCACCTGGAGGACTCATTGAAACTGATTCCCAACCCCCATTAAGTAGTTCTGGGATACAGCAGGCGCAAGTACATTTCTCAAAAAATTCCCAGCTGCTGCTTGGAATCCTGTGAGAACCATTAGAATTATAAGCTTCAGTCTCCTCCTGGTGGTTGATTTATGAAGTACAATGCATATTCATTTTCATCATGATTCACTTAATCCTCAATTGCCCTGTGAAATAAGTACTATCTTCATTTTACAAATGATGAAACTGAGATGCAAAGAGATGAAGTAATATTCGTAGGTTTTACAGATAGTGTATGGAGAAGTGGCAATTGAATCCAAGACTGTCCATTTTCTGTTGAAGCACAGAAAAGAGGGTGCTGGGTCCGTAGGCAGGTGCAATGGACACTGAGTGCAGGGCACCGTGACTGGGGAAGTGATGGGCTCTGAGAGCCGCTTCATCTGTTTCACAATCATGCATGTGTCAAACTGCAACTCAGCTTCCTCCTCCATTTGAAGAATTCTGCTCTGCCGAATGGAATTTTGTTTGTTACCAGCTAAATCCTGTTTCTAAATCTTATTGGCCATGATTTCAAAGTGGGAGATGAAGGTCTAGAGGCTGATGTTACAGGACTAAGGGTGAGAGGCAAAGAAGAATGGGTGGACCAAACCAAAAGTTTTGATTCCGTTATGAAATGGTGATTATCTATTCCCATCAGTTTTCTGAGTTTTAATGGGCCAGTTGGTGTGAGTCACAGTGAAACCTTTGAGGTTTTGTGAAGGAGGGTCACAATTGTTGATTTGAATCCACCATTTCTGGTTCCCTTTTTGACTTTTAGAAATGAAGTTTGGCTTCCTGAGGGCAAGATGAATCTTCTTTAGGGCCCTTCTGATCATTACTTAAGCAGAGAGGGATATGTCAAAGCAAGCAATAAAAGTAGAAAAAGGTCATGTCTTGTGAATTTCATTTGAAGAAGTATTACGTTAAGACTCTGATGTGAATGATTAAAGTAAAATATGTTCAGGGCATTCAAAAAGCCAGAGGAAGAACCTTCATGATGATGGCTGCTAGACTAAGTGTTCAGAGGTGGCTGGACCCTACACTTATTTATTTTTTTAAATATATTTTATTGATTTTTCACAAAGAGGAAGAGAAAGGAATAGAAAGTTATAAACGTCGATGAGAGAGAATCATTGACCAGCTGCCTCTTGCATACCCCCTACTGGAGATGTGCCCGCAACAAAGGTACATGCCCTTGACCGGAATCGAACCCGGGACCTTTCAGTCCACAGGCCAACTCTCTATCTACTGAGCCAAACCGGTGCCGGCTACACTTATTTATTATTTTTAAAATATATTTTATTGATTTTTTACAGAGAGGAAGAGAGAGGGATAGAGAGAAACATCGATCAGCTGCCTCTTGCACACCCCCTATTCGGGATGTGCCCGCAACCAAGGTACATGCTCTTGACTGGAATTGAGCCTGGGACCTTTCAGTTCACAGACCGATGCTCTATCCACTGAGCCAAACCAGTTTCGGCGGACCCTACACTTATTATTCTACTTCACTTTCTGCTTAAATTGGAAAATTTCAAGATTTCCCCCAGACAACTACACCAATGGTCAACTTCCCTTTAAAGAAGTCCATTTCTGGCTGTGAATCAGAAACACAAGTCAGGTGTATTAGCCTTCCTGGATTATCTCCTATTTGCCATCCTTGGGTGTTATTTTTTTTCTTTTTTA